ATGGCTCCAGGAGCTGCTGCAATGTTGGCAGTCAGTTCACAAAATAATTATTTACAGACAGCATGGGATTTGTGCTTGAAGAATCACAGTATGGAGAGCAGACACATACATATGCACACACAAACACAGGACTGTTTTTTCATTCCTTGTGGGGACTTTACATTGACTTACATTCATTTTCTGTAGACATATCCTAACCTTAACCATAACCACTACTTGCCTAACCCTAACTCTGACCTTAAACCTTGTTGTCAGCCTAAAATTCAGTGATTTCCTTGTGGGGACAAGGCCTCTGGTCCCCACAAGGATGGTCAAGTCCCCACAATCTGAGTGTGTTAACAGGTTTCAGTCCCTATAATGTAAGTAAGACAAAGGCATGCACACACTTCCAAAGCAACCCACAAACACACACATCCATTTTCAGTCCCGGCATTATTATTGTTCGTTTCATTTTAAGGAGCATCTAAATTCATGGCTGCGGCTTTCTCTCACTTTTTCACTCTGTCATCAGCTTCCTCCCTGCCCTTGTTTTCTCACACACACTCATGACACACGCATCCTCACACAGGCACACACTCACATTCACAATATAAACAGGGCAAATGTGGAAGAGTGAGAACTGAATCCATTTTCCCGACATAATTTTTTTGTTTTATGACTGAATGGATTTCTCCACACCATTAGGAACTCATTCTCCCATAATGCAACTCACCACAATGAGAACTCTCCCAGTGAGACTGGCACAGAGAAAGTGCTCACAGGAGCCCCAGCTCATGTTTGTCTTTATTTATTTAATCATGCTCTCTCAGTTGTTCAGCTGGGTTCTGGTTGATTTTAGTCCTTTAGTGTGTATGATTGTGTGTGTGTGTGTGTGTGTGTGTGTGTGTGTGTGTCGGTCTAACACAGTGTAACAGAGCAAGTGAGAGAGAAATTAAATGGAGAGCAGAGAAAAGAGAACAGAAAAAAGAAAAGCAAGTCCGATGATAAAAGAATGAGCAGTGAAACAAAACGTGCTTTTTAGAAAAAATAAAAAAGCTGACTTGCGGAGAAACACAGCTCTTGTGAGCCACCCGACTCCTTTGAGTGCCATCTCATCACCGAGTGGCTCAAAATCCATCTCGGGGTGATGATGCGATCAGATTGCCACCATGGGATGTTATAAAGTGGTAATTCTGTGGGCTCCGTGATCATATCCTCCCACTCGTCTCACTGTAACATCACACTCACACACATTACTTTCTATGTATTGTGTGTATATGTGTAATATCTGGTATTTTGTATGGGAAGATTCAGCATTGTGCTGCCTGACCAATGGATAGAGAGAAGCTTCTCTTCTATCTGCGAATTAATTTATGAGCCCTCTTTTCTTAATTAGAGAGAAGGAGAGACAGAGAGGAAGAGGGAAGAGGAGAGCAGGAAGTCAGAAGAGCTGCTGAAGTCAGCTTCTTCCTCCCCTCCACCTCTCTTTTTTTTTATATTCTCAACCATCTCTGAGTAGAACATTTCTCTCTCCTCAGAGTTCAGTGACTCAGCCAGCCATGTCCAGGCCACTCCTCAGAAGCTTATATTAGTGATTGAACGGGTCAACTAGATTTCATCTTTCAGTGGTATAGCCTACATATGTACATATCAGTGCTGTATTGATAGTCACACACTGTAACATTACTTTCACTCTTAGTGTTTTTCAGACTGTCTCTGAGTTCATCATCCCTGACAGTCGTGGTTCTTGGCTGTTTGACAGATTTGTTCCTTGGTTCATTTCTGCAGTAAAGATGTCTAGAGACACTATGAACTCGTTTTCACTTGTCATGAATTTCCTCTGTGGTAGCAAAGCATGTTACACCAGCCTTCAAAAACTGTGCTAACAAAACCCTTTTAGCGGTGACTGGCACTAAGAGACTCAATAAAAGTGAACTGAAAACACTTGGTAACTTAGCAACCTACTATTAAGGCTACAAACAACCCATAATGCAACATTATCAGTGGATGGCTGTAATTGCACCAGTACTCCCTCCATTCAAAAAGCATGTCTGATGTTGTGAACACATAATTGTCTCTTCCTCAAATAGAAGATGATCTCTTTTTCAAACATAAGCCCCTTATACACGGCAAACTGCCGACCTTTTGACCCCCCTTTATGATGGCTTTTTAAAAAATCTAAGTCCTTTTACACTTAACTTTAAAAAGCTGCCAAACTGCGGCTCCTGTGTTTACACACTTGCTGGAATCCCAGTAGGCTACTAGAGGTGATGCTGATCGTGGGGTCCATGTACATCGCTGTCAATTTGAAAACAAAAGAAATGGGCTGATTTTGTTTGATATGTTTATAAATTGAAATCAGGAGTTGCAGTAGCCTACTATGTACATCCAGTTTCAGGTGTGTGTGTCTCTTTGAGGACAGAGCTACAGCGTTTTGCATTCATACTAAATCCTTCCCACGGGGTGGTGCAGAGGTGTAGCTCTGTTTATTCCTGCTTTAGAATCTAACCACAATGAAACAGTCACAAAATAAAATTCTAAAATAACAAATTAAGTTAAAACGCCAGGGGAGTTTGTATACCACCCTGACACACAGAGCGGGAAACTGCTCCAAACTGCTTGTAAAGTCCAGTCCAAATGTTCGGAACCCACTCTGTTTACTCTACTGCTCCTGTCTGACTCATCTTTGTTTTAGTTTTTTCAGATCCACTTCATTTCTCACAGGGCCAATTGTCTTTAATATGCACAAATTCCCCCTCACATTTACATCACCGACCCTGTTTCCTACTACTGCTTCCTACCGACACAGATACACGTGTGTGCGCACTCACTCACTTGTGAAATGCAAAACAGCTGAGGTAAGACAGATATACAAATGTGTCCACTCCCTGGAGAGTGAAGGTGACACGTAAGAAACCACACACATGCCACCTCAGTGTACGCTCCTGCCCCCCTCCTTAACACACACACAGGCGTAAGCACGGACTTGAGAGCCGTAGCCGACAACAGAGTGAGCTGTTGACAGCGGTGCAGACTAAGAGCGAAGAAAAGGCTCTAATCCCTGTCACATGATAAAAAACCACTCAAAGCAAAACAATTAAAATGCTAATTTCACTTCATCCTCTCTGCTCGCCTGTTAATGACTTAGACAGGTATGCAGGCCAAGCAACAACATGTGTGGGTAACCATTAGTCAAAAGATTTATAGTCTACATAAGTATGGTTATGTGAATTATACGTTTGCAAGCGTGCAATGTGTGTGCTTAATTTTTGGTAAAGATTTTATTTTATTCACACACAAAACAAAACAAAAAAATCCAAAAAGTGTCAACCTCTGTTTGTTTCTGCTTTAGAAATTCAGTGCCTTATCTTTGCCTTTACACTCACAAATCTTTTTGTTGCTGTGTGTATATGTGTGCAATACACAAGAAACAAAAAGCAGAAATAAAGACTTTTGAAAAGTGAGGGTGAGGTTTGACCATTTTCTGGGTCCTATAAAATTAATAAGTGACAGTTGAGCAAAGCCTTGTCTCCTGCTGCTGTCTCTTTTTTTTTGTCTACACACATATTTATTTGAATAAAGAGCATCCACAGGGGAATCTCTGACATCGTAGCTCCGAGAGATTTCTGAATTGCTAAGAGTCACAACACCATGATCCTGCCACACTCCCTCTCTCTATTTTATATATGTATTCATTCATATCCATTAAACTATTTCTCAAAATGGTTTTCTTGCCATTGTGTTCACTGACTAATGGGCACAGTTTTCCCACCACTTCCATTTCCTTTCTGTTTTTAGCTGTTTTATTTGAGGGGGAGCAGACTTGCCAGTTGGTTAGCATTAGCTTACATGAACCTGACAGCAACGCCCTCTGTAAAGGCCTAAGATGTCATTTAAACTGTCCTAGTTTTTCATTTGTCATCTCCTAATCCTGCCTTCCTTCCAGATGGGGAAACTGGACAATGGCAGCCTGACACTGAAATACCCAGTGTGGCCACGCTTCAACTCCTTTGGTGATGCTGAGCTTGACGACAACCACCTGTCCATTGTCACTTTGGAGGAGAAACCTTTTGTTGTCGTGGAGGATGTAGAGCGACTCACTGGGACCTGCATGAGGAACTCTGTGCCCTGCAGGAAGCACATTAAAGAGTAAGTCTGTCTTATTTATCAGGTGGATGTCTAGCCACTGACTAGATAAATATATGACTACATACTGTATCTCGTACAGCACTCTAACTCTCATTGTATATCAGCTGACAGTTCTGTTTGGTTCAGTGAAAAGTCTGATACACATGTTTAAATGAACTCTCAGGTCAAAAGTACAGAGTGAAAATAGCAGCAACACATGACTATGTAGATGAACTTCACAGGCAAAGCAACAGACGTATTTTGATCTGATTGAAATGAAACTAACCTCCACTATTTATCCAGTGTTTTAACTATATTTTGAGGTAGGTACTTGAGAATTTTAATTTTCTGCTACTTCATACTTCAACTTCACTACATTTGAGAGAAAAATATTGTGCTTTGTAGTCACTACATTCATTTGATAACTTTAGTTGCTAGTTACCTTTCAGAATCAGATCAATAAAATATTATACAGTATAATCATTATTGATCCTCAGTGGAAAATTCACAAGCTAAGTATATTTTGATGCTAATACTTTGGTACTTTTCCTTAAGTAAGCTTTTGAATGCAGGACTTTTACTTGTAACAGAGTATTTTTACACTGTGGCATTGCTACTTTTGCTTAAGTAAATAATCTGAGTACTTCTTCCACCACTGCATATCAGTGTAAGATGATACAAAAAAAAAATTCACAAAATCCTTTTTCCATTTTCTTCAACATTGTGGTTATGTTCCTCTGCTTGTTCTCTCTCTCTCTCTCCCTTTCTCTCTCTCTCTCTCTCTCTCTCAGTCTCTCATTCCTCCACTGAGCACAGCAAGAGGTGCAGTGTGAGATCTATGCAGTACCTTCTTTCCTCCCCCTGAAAATGGAGGCGACTGCTGAACTCAGCATTTGCCTTCATTGTTTATCAATTTTCTCTGTAATCCACAAATACTGCATCTCACTATACATGTTCTTGAAGTACACACACAGTGAGAGTGGCTCAGTGTGTGTGTGTGTGTGTGTGTGTGTGTGTGTGTGATTTGAAAGCTGCAGAATCAAAACATATAATTGCAGATAATTTAATATATTTATCCACTGGAACACACTGCGCATACACTACACACTTTGTGTCACTCTTATCACTACATACATGCATGTATATGAAGTATAACTGCTGACAGAGTGGTAACAGGGTCCCAGGGAAGAGGCCAGCAGAGAGTTTCATCCAGAATCGCTGTGAAGTAGGGCAGAGGATAACACATCTCCAAGGACAAACACACACACAAACTGTATTCACTCTGTGTTACACGTGTCCACTCCCTCACTGGCCAGTGCATTAGGGTGTGTTTCTCCCTCCCACAGCACAATTCCCACTCGAGCATCTGTAGTGCCCATTTGGAGAAAGGGATAGATGGAGGGGAGGAAAGGCAGAGAGAGGAGCGGTGGAGGGGTTGAATCAGGGGGTTGGAGGACTAGCCATGCATGCAGAACCACACATTTGTGCATCCAGGCTGGGACTCAGAACAAGCCACAGTAACACACACTGTCCTCTCTGGAGACCCGTCAGGCCCTGTAGCATTTCTATATCAAGTTGGCCTGGCAACTGCAGAAATAGCCTCCATAACATTACATGTATGTCCTGCCTAAATGGGCACACTGTGTTCACAGTACTGGCCTGTATTCTATGCCTGCTCTGTCGCTGCCGCCACGGGCTGAAAGTTGACTTACATGTAGTTGTCTTTGTCTTTGTTATTATCACAGATCCACATGGCTACTTTCTGTTATCAATTCAACATCATAACGCTTCCAGGTGTATGCCTCCGCCAAGCAGTCAAATTCATGGGTATGGGACAGAAGTGAGGTCACTGACCTTCACCTCTGACCACCAAAATATAATCAGTTCATCATTGAGTCCAAGTGGACACTTGTGCCAAATTTGAAAAAAAATCCCTCAAAGCATTCCTGATATATTGTGTTCACAAGAATGGGCCATACAGATGGATGGACAGATGCCTCCAGCCACGGCTATTGCCGGCAAGGAGACATAAAAATATACACAGTGTATTATTCACTAGCTAGGACCACGCCTAGATATGAATAGTAGGTTCATGAGTAGAGATGGAGCGATGTTAGATGGATGTAGGACCATGAGGATGGTCGCTCATTTGATTAAGGCTTCTGAGGGATCCATGATGCCCTCTGGCGTAGCAGGTCCCCCCGCGTTGAAGCATGGAGACAGGGAAGGAGAAGAAGACAGAAGGAACAGGAAGAAGGAATAAGAGATGGGGGAGGGTTACATGAATCGTCCACATGATTGTGTAAGTTATTTATAGGAAGTAAACAGAAAGAGGGATATGGTTAGAGGCGTGGTCCTACTCCTGAGCCTCTGATCTGCATCTTCACTTCTTAAGATGGCTATGTTTCAGTACAGGCATGAAATGTTCCAGTCAAACCCATTTGTGTCCTGATTCAGTGTGGACCTCCCTGATGTGTCATATAACTTAGAGATGTTTCCTTTTTCTTTGTGTAGAAAACCTGTCCTTTAATTGAGACTCACCTGCCAACATAACTGTTGTGCTTATCACCATTTCTTCTGTGTGCTATATTGGAAGTCATGAACCAGCTTCAAAACTAGGGCAGGTAGACAAATGCATATTTCATTACACAAGCTGTGTCAGAAGTCTTAAGTGGTATTGCCTCTCTGGTAATGGTAGATGCAGATGATTTTATTCAGTGGCCGCTATAGATAAACCCTGGTTATATCTGTAGAAAATCAATCTGGGTGGTTGTGCAGCATTTTACAAAAAGTCATTGACATGTGTTGACAGCCCAGACAGTGCCTGACTTTTCAAATGAACCTTTTCTGTCTTGTGTAAAACTATTAGACCATAAAAAGAGAATCCCTTTCCAGGACAGGAGGACAGGTAAGAGCTCCAGTCAGAGTGACACTCGTTTGACAAGTCAATGGTGACTAGTGATGGGTAAAGCTTGAGGCAAAAATGTCTAATATTTTTCTGGACTACAGAATTCCTCCAAAGTGACAAGAGTTTCAGCTCCAAAAGTAACTGGAGAATCACTGTTGAATGTGTGCTTTTCCCCCAGTTTCCTTTAAGTTTGTGCCCTGGTTTTTGTCAAGCTAAAGGACAAGGTTATTGTCTCCTAATTAGCATGTATCTTAAAGTTAAATGAGAGTCCCAGATGGCTGGACATCTGTGTGTGTGTGTGTGTGAACACTGTCTGAACTCTGCTGCTCTCAAATCCATACACACAGATGGTACAAGGTTTGCAGATGCAATGCTGTCATACACCTCCTTCTCTAGAGGGACAGAGGGGTGGAAGGACAGAAGCAACATATTTTTCAAGTCTTCTGATGTCATTCTTGAAAAGAACAATCTGATCTTAAAGTTGAAAAAGTCCCAGGGTGTTATTTGGTCAATAGAGCAATCATATAGTGTAAAATTAACAAAGTAGGATGGACAGAGAAGCAACCATGTGTTTTTTGTTGGTTGCCATATGTAGCTTAAGTCATGCAAGGTTTCTAAAGGTGGATAAACTGCAAAGGTTGCAATCATGAGAAGAGCTGGTGAAGCTGCCATTTAACCAACCCAGTGTATGTTATGGAAGTCAGTACTGGCGGAAACGGGCTTCCATAGTATGTTGAATGCAGACTGAATACATTTCTTTCTCTCTGACAAACCATGGACAATAATTGGACAAAGCAGCTGCTGTTCAAAATCATCATCTAACAGTATGTGCGTTTCGTTTGTGTGTTTGCAGCAACACAACAGAGGCTGGTGGGACATACATCAAGAAGTGCTGCAAAGGTTTCTGCATTGATATTCTGAAAAAGATTGCCAAGTATGTCAAGTTCACCTACGACCTTTACCTGGTGACCAACGGCAAGCACGGCAAGAAGATCAACAACGTCTGGAATGGGATGGTGGGAGAGGTAAGACCAGTGTTTACTCAATAAAGGCCACTGGAGACAGAGGTGAATCCAATTCCACTAATTGCATCCACCTTTCTCTCACTTGTGTCTTTTCCTTGTCTTAATCCTGTCCATGTAAGATGTAAGGATGCAAGGAAAGAGGAATGAGGAAACCTGAGTATGAGACCTCCTTTCCTCTGATTCTTTATGTGAATCATCCAATCACAAAATGATTTCTGATAAAGGGGCGTGACAATCCATTGTAAACTTCCGTGAAGGATGCACTCACGTATCCTTGGTTATAATAGCTCCTTCAGGCAGGCTCCTCACTCCTGGCTCCACAGAGCAGAAATAAGACCTTTGGGACGTCCTTCATCATGCTTGGCCTGAACAACTTCTGGGTCAAGAGAGGATTGAGGAACGATAAAATAAGGGAATTGGGATTCACCTATTGGCTACTTGACTACTTTTTTCCCTCCAGTCCTGAAGATGGCAAACACCGTGCATGTGTCATGAATTAGAATGATCAGTCTTCACTTTTAATTGATTATTGTGAATATCTAATGCAAAGCCAGACCGAGAAGAAATTAGAGTTGTCTGTCTGTGTTACAGCATATTCCTCTTCTGTTTGTTCCACAACAAGTTTTAAGTGTTGTTTTTCAAAACCTTCAGAAACATTGGTAATCAGCAGCTACAGCAGAGAGCTCCTTTGCATATCATTAATTACCAGCTTTAAGTTGAAGGTGAAGCTTAAGTTAAATATTATTTTAAGACTCTGGCAATTGTATATCTCACTTAGCAGCGATTCCCACTTGCATATTGATAAAGACTGAGTCTGAGATTAAAAACTTTAATGATGTGCAGTCAGTAAAATTCTAATTCTGAAGTATAAATTTAACAGGTTTTTGCATTTTCTTACTGCATTATCATAAAATATTATGTTAATTTGCAGAAGCTATATGGAGTTAGTAGACAGAACCAGAAAATAACTAAACATGGGGTTCATTGTTGTTGTTGTTGTTGTTGTTGTTGTTGTTGCTTCTCCTGTAGTTTTTGTATGTACAGCTAACTTTTAAGGATGCCTGCCGTTTCCCCTGTCGATCTGTTTAGACTGCGTATCAAGTAATTAAAGTCAGAACTGGGATTGGGATTTGAATGTGGTAATAAGCATAATGTTGATTGATTTCTTGCTGCATTTCACTGCCTTTCTCCTGTAGAAAACTGGTGAATGCCACAATATGATGTCAGTTTTGTTCTTTTTGTTTTAACCTTCGTACTTTGTCCCATTTCACCAATTATTTTCTTTCATATCTTCTGTTGTCACCTTTTTCCCTTTTCTTGTCCTCCCTCATGTCAACCTGTCTCCCCTTTCTTAACCTTACAACTTTGTTGTTTCCCCCTCCTTCTGCACATCCATCTCCCCCTTTTCTCCCTCCCCTCACTCCTCTAATTCATTTCTAATCATTCACCCTCTTTCTCCATACATCCTCCTCCCTCCCTTTATTCCCACATTGCTCCTCCACATCTGCCCTTCAAAGGTGGTCCTTAAGAAAGCCGCCATGGCCGTCGGATCTCTGACCATCAATGAGGAGCGTTCTGAGGCCATCGATTTCTCTGTCCCATTTGTGGAAACCGGGATCAGCGTCATGGTATCTCGTAGCAACGGAACGGTCTCCCCATCAGCCTTCCTCGGTAACTGTTACTGAATAACTGTCGCTTTGTTGTTGGAAAATGAGAGGGAGGTCTGTCTTGTTTGCTTTTTCAGTTTGTGTGAGTACAAGAGGGTATTTGTCTTGGGCGTACGTGTGTATTTGCGTTTGCCTGAGATACAGAGATGACAACATAATGCAGTCCTGTTACAGAGCTGTCAATACATGCTCTCTCATCAGAGGGATTTAGCCCAACTCCTGCTTTACACCACAATGACCCCTACTTACCTGAGAGGACCTAACAACAGGATTTTAACCTGAGTGACCATGGATATCCCTGTTATGGCTGCTCAGTCACGTTCATTTAATCTCTGGTGCTTCAGCGTCGACAACCAAGCTCCTACACCCACTATATGAAACAATGCACACACAGTCACAGAGAGCCAGCAAGACTGCATAAACATGCAGAGAGAAACACAAACATGCCAGTACGTACAGACGCAAAGACATACGCACACTGACACGTATGCGATATGTACTTACTCCTGTGAAAGTGGCAATTATCAGGGCTTAGCAGGGAAAGCCTATAATGGCTTCTTGCCAGCACACAAAAGCACACACAGTGCACAGCTCTGTGCCAGCAGTGCTCTCCCATACATTAGAGCAGGGTTTAATCTCTGCAGTAGTGTTGTGAGCTCAGAGGGAGGACAGGGGTGCTGACACTAGGGCTTTCTATACTGTACACCTCCTCATGCTGTCAATTAGGAGGTGTGGCTATGTATGTGCAAGTGAGTGTGTACTGTAGGGTCTCTGTGAACACGTGGGAGGCAGTGTGCTATCTCTGCAGTTCTTTCCTCAGTATGTATAACTTATATAACTTATTTATTTATTCAGTTCATGGAAAATCAGAAAGGCAGTGGCCATGAATTAGAAAAAAGCATGTAATGAACAAAAAAAAAGAACATGTGTTAATCCTTAATATCTGTCCTCTTACTTCTTTCAGAGCCATTCAGTGCATCAGTCTGGGTGATGATGTTTGTGATGCTCCTGCTGGTGACTGCAATGGCTGTCTTCATGTTTGAGTACATCAGTCCTCTTGGCTTTAACAGAAATTTGGCACAGGGCAAAGGTAAGCATGAATATTGAATACAGAAAAGATATTTACCTGTTTTGCAGGTGGATTCTAAAATCTTCAGGTTGGACTTTTTATGCTGTTGCTTCTTTCTCTTAATTATCTTCTACGCCATCTGCCTCTCTCTCCCCCCTCTCCACTCCGTCAGATCCCCACGGGCCTTCCTTCACCATGGGCAAGGCTGTATGGCTGCTATGGGGTTTGGTCTTCAACAACTCTGTGCCAGTGCAAAACCCAAAAGGAACCACCAGTAAATTCATAGTGTCGGTGTGGGCCTTCTTCGCTGTCATCTTCCTGGCCTCCTACACTGCCAACCTGGCCGCCTTCATGATCCAGGAGGAGTTTGTCGACCAAGTCACCGGACTTTCCGACAACAAGGTAAGATCCAACTTTGTCAGATTCCATTCCAGGTTTTTCCCACTTTTAAAGCTCTGGTTACTTTATGGTGATTTGACAAATTAATCCATCAGCCGACCACATTTAAGAGTTCTAAATCTGACGTTTAGTGTTTTTCATAACCTTAGGCGACACTAACATTTTAGTGGCCAATTTAGAAACCAACCAGTACAGTGCATCTGTCTTCAGTCTGACAAAGGTCCTAGGTCACCATTAGATTTGTAGTTTTAGTAATGTTATGATGACTATATATATATCAGCATAGAACTAGAGACTCAGGATCAGGTGTTCAATCTGTTATAGAGGAATATGAAGAATCTAGAGAGGTCAAGGACAAAACAGGAGTGAGATTCTCAAAATTCTTATTTGAGAGACTGGAAGAAACCCATCGAGGACCTGGCTCAGCATCTGGCAGCTTCATCTGGATGCCAAGTAAGTTCTTCCACAGCCCAAAGAAGCTTGATCAGGAACAAACTTTTTGGAAGGATGGCAGCCAAGAAACCACTTTCTCAGAAGGGGACAGGGAGAAAAGGCTGAGCTAAGCAAAAGCTCACAAAGATTGAAGTGAAGATCAGTGGAAAGGATTTCTCTGGAGGGATGAATCAAAATTTGACATTTCCAGGTCCAATTGTCCACAGCATGTGAGAAGAAGAGTTGGAAAGAGGTGGAAGAACGAGTGTAGCAGCCTCCAGTGAAACATGGTGGGGTCTGTCATAGTTAAAAGACTTCAAAACAGTCTCCCCAAAAGAATTCAAGCTGTGCTAATTACAAAGGGAGGTCACAATAAATACTGACTTTGGACATATACTGTATGTGCTGGGAGAAAGAAGATATGTGCAGGGTTAATGTTGGATTAAATATGACTGATAAGGACTGGACAAAAAAAAAGACTGGTCTTTAGTTTTTATAACTTCTGTATCATCTCATATTACAGGCAGCCTTAACCTTAAACCTTATTGGCAAGAGGTAACATTACATACTGTAAGCTCTGCTTAGGTTTCTGTGGCATCACCCTTGTTTACTTCTACACATCTGGCTTTACCTAAGTGTGTCAAGCAGTGACATTCTACACATCTTCTAGCTGACAACTAACATAGGTAGATTTCCCTATGGGACCAGAAGCCATACACATGCTTTACTTTACTCCAGTTAACTTCTCAAGGTCTAGGAGACAAACATGCACAATGTAGGAAGGATACATGCAGAATATGAAAGATATAAAAATCATTTTGAATGCTCAGGGAATATTAGAAAATGTCCCAGTATGCATCATACCAGTTTGTATCTCTCATTTAATGAACTTTACCTGTAATTATAATCTTGCAGGTAACATCTGGAATAATGCAGGACAAGTGTAGAAAATCCATTAAAATCCAATTAAATTCCCTTTGATCCACAGGGCAAGTATTTGCAATTGTGTTCACATTTAAATGCTTAAACCATTCATTGTATACTTTAGATGATGAAAGTTCCTCATACACTGACACAGGCAATTTCATATTTTCTTTTATTAAATAGATGCAAAATCTGGTTCTCCTACTAAAATGTTACTGATTTCATAGTTATTTAATAAAAGTAATGTTCTGAGGCTCAGTCAGTGAAAGATTAAAAACTTATATCTGTTCCAAGAGCTCGGGTATTTTGTGTCACACCACTGATGTGCTAAAATGTCTTTGTAAAGGATTAAATGTGCAGGGAAAACACACTGAAAGGTTTGATTTGATTTATTCTTTCAAGCATGTAAAGACAGTTGATATATCAACACACATAATTTTACACATATCCAACAAATGCTAATCCAATATCAATTTGCTTATACCTAGTACATGCTTGAATGGAGTAGGAAGAAGTCAGACTTATCCAGTCCTACCCCATGAATACAGCAGACAAGAAGGATCTAATGGTACTTACTGATCTCTGGTCAGGTTCAGGTGATGAGCCCTTCTCTGCAATTCTTCTCCTGTAAGACAGAGTCCAGAATTATTTCTGAAAAACAGTTGCTATTTTTAAAAACATATCATCATGTTTAATGTTAATATCATAAAGCACAGACCACACAATTCCTCCTGAACTCCACATTTTTAAAACCTAAATTCCTTAGATTTCTCTAGATCTTACAGTGATACTTCTCTGTCAGCAACAAAGTGCATTTAAATTACGATTTTACTACATATCATCTCATAATACTGAGGAATAGTGAGAGTGATGAGTACATGAACTTATTCTTCAGGTGGCACAACAAAATCCATTGCGACCAACATTGGGGTTTGCTAAATCTACTGTATGGCAACTGTGTCAAGTTTCACTTTTCTGTAGTATATGAAACAAGATCTGAAATTCATTCATATGACTCAAGTGCCTATTTTGAGACGTACTGAATCGAAGAGTAATATATGATGTGTCGCTACCTCCTTGCTAACAGGGCACTCATCTCCTCCATGAGCCCTCCTCCTCCAGGCAGAGGGCCGTTGCCTCTGGCTTCAGATATTTTAACAATTTAGACTGTATGAAAGCTACATTGGTGTGATCCCTGTACCCCATCTTATGCACAATTCTTATCGCTCTTTTTTGTAATATATACAATGGTTGAAGTGAACTTTTGTATGTATTTCCCAAGTTTTCAACGCCATACTCTAAGTATGGTAAAATCAATGAAGGTTAATAGTAAAAGTCAAGTAAAATGTGGAGAAACAGAAAGAAAATGTTAGAGAAAGGGTTCCTTAGGAGACAGAGATGCTGCCAAGGACAGAGAATGATGTAGAGGCTTTTGACAACATATGGGAGGAGAGAGGGAATGAGGGATGGAATACAAGGAACAGCAACTGGCAGGAGGGCAACTGAGGAATAGTGAGAGACCAGGACACACAAGATGGTACAAGACAACAGGCAGACAGATATGGGTCAGGTTGACGGCTGAGGTAGGGAGAAAGGGATGGCGTGAGGGGGGGGAATGTAAAAGAGATATGGAACGACAGAGAGGGTCAGGGAAAAAAGGAGCCAGACAAAAAGGGTAAATGGACGTTGAGACAGATATGCTGAGCAAGGCCGGACATGGAGCCAACCGTGGCCAGCAAAATGATGATGAACATTCCT